CGGGGCGCGCCCCCTCCTCGCCCCTCCCCGCTTGCCGCAAGGTCGACGGGGCTGGAGGACGAGACGCCCGCCTCCCGGGCGCGGTCGAGGCCTGGAGCGCCCGATCCGACGCCACCCGCCTCCCCCCTAGGCTCTTGGGGATGCCGTGCCGCCGCGGCCTGGCCCCGCGTCAGCCATCGGGGGAGGAGGGGGGGGGTCCTGCGTCCGCCCCGGCGGCCCGCGGGGGTCTGGGCCTGGATGGAGGAAGCATCCTCCGCCGCCGCGGCCCCTCCCCCACCAGGCCTTCTGGAGACGGGGAAGGGGGGGGCATCCCGCCTCCGGGGCGCCCCAGGATGCCCCCGAAATGACAACCTGGCGCTCCAAGGCCTCTCAGGCCAGCCTCTAAGCGCCCCCCTCCCGCAACACTCGGGCGCCGCCCTGCCCCACTCGCAGGCCCGAGGCGCGGTCCTACCCCCCCCCTCCACCACACACACCCGGGCCTACCACGGCCTGGTCCTACCCCCCCCCTTCCCCTCCATCTCCGTGGAGCCTGGGTCCAACCCCTCCCCTCGGCGACAAGGGAATACCTACAGTGACCATTCTTGTGTGCCCGGCGGGCGCGGTCCGTGTTGAGGGCGGCTCCGGGGGGGTCGTGCACTCCAAGGGGGGCGCCCGATGCGCACGCCGGGGTCCCGCCCGGGCAGCTCCGGGTGCGGCCGCTGCAGAGGCGGCGACGAAAGCGGCGGCTCCCTCGAGGGCCAAGGATGGATGGACCCGAGCCCGAGGATGCACGCTCCGGTGACCGCGGCCCCCGGGGGTGGCCTGCGAGCGGCCGAGGATGGAAAGAGGGAGCCGGACGCGGGATCGAGGGCGCCCCCCCTGCGCGGCCCCGCGGGGCCCGGGGTGGGTGGGTGCGCTTCCCGACAGAGATCGCGGCGCCCGGGTGTTTCGCTGCCGCCCCTCGGTCAGGCCTGCGGGGGACCCCGGTGTTCAGTCCTCTCCCCTCGCCCGCCCTCCCTCCCTCCCTCCGGCCTGCGCTGCGCGCTCCGAGCTCTGGGCCGCGCAGCCGCCGCCCCCAGCCCTTTATAGCAGCAGCTGCCGGCGCCGGCGTCGCTGATTGGCTGCCGCTGCCGAGCGCCGCCTCCTCGTGGCTCCCGACGGCGCGGCAGGTGGAAGCCGGCGCGCTCGGGCCTGGCCTCAGACATCAGACCTCCCCCCCCAACGCACACCCCCCAAAAAGAGCGCAGCCTGGATGGGGAGGCCTGTCCATCCCCGCTCCTCAGGGGGCTGAGATGTGATGATCGAGGTTCGAAGACCGCCTGCGCAGGAAAGTGGGAGGGAAGGAGCGTGAGATTCTCCCATGAGCTAAAAAGCCTGAAGTGGAGCTGTGGCTCAAGTGGTGGTGGAAGGCGGGGTGGTGGGGGGGGGCTCAAGGACAGAGTCCAGGCCCTGAGTTCAAGTCTCAACGACCAACCTCCCCTCCCCCGACCCCCAGTACATTCTGGAAGCTCCAGTGGCCAAATTCTGGCCCTCCTGCACCAGGGTACCCTGCTTCTTGTCTTGGCACACTTGCTTGCATGGTTTTTGGTCGGTCGTGGGGCCTGAACTCTGGACCTGGGCACTGTCGCTCAGCCTTCAGTTCAAGGCTAGCACTCTACCACTTGAGCCACAGCGCCACTTCTGGTTTTATTGGACAGAAGAGTCTCATGGACTTTCCTGCCCGGGCTGGCTTTGAACAGTGATCCTCAGATCTCAGCCTCCTGTGTAGCTGGGATGACCAGTGTGAGCCACTGGCGCCCGGTTTGGCACACTTTCTTGAGCAGTCTTTTTTTTTTTTTTTT